ATAAAGCTGCAAAAGGAGTAACAAATGCTATCAATACAGATAAATAATAAATATATAACTGAAATGATAGTAAATGACATTATGATTACCTAGTGCAGTAGGTGACTGTGAAGCTGGTGAAGACTCTATTGGTCCAGGAAGTGGGGTAGAAGAGGAAGAAACAGAAGGAAGTGATGGCAGCACGGGAGGCTGAGCAGCGGATGAAGCACTCCACGCGGCCTACTGCCAAACGCGTCTGAATCAACCACCCTGCCTCTAGCCATCTATACTACAGATAAAAGAACCTACATATGTATGTATACAATTATATGAATTGTAGAACATTCTCCAATCAAATCAAATTTCGGCAGCACTTCGGTATAACATAATCAAATCTCAAGTCAAAACATACTAATATAAACACTTCTATATCGTACCAACATTCTCCAAAGTCAAAATGGCCACTACTAAGCCTCTATCTCAAACGCATCATTCATGTGATTTCAAATCAAATGAAAACACAAATCAAGATAAATTAATTTCAAAAAAATTAATTTCAATACATAATATAGAAGTTGGTTTTTTAAATTTGATTAGTATAAATTTTGATTACTATTAAATCACCCTCATTAATTTTGTTTCGTTACAAATTACAATTATTTTTTTTAAATTTGATTAGTATAAATTTTGATTACTATTAAATCACCCTCATTAATTTTGTTTCGTTACAAATTACAATTATTTCAATACTATAACTAGTGTTATAAATTACAGTCATTAATTTTTTTTTAACAAATCACAATTATAGAAAATAATACATAATATAGAAGTTGAGCTGTATTAGTTAATTTCATGACTTTGATTTTTTTGATTTTTCGCATTAAAAATCTTAAATTTTATTTAGCCCCTTGAAATTCAACTAAATAGTAACTAATGTCAAACTTTAGAGAACAAATTTATCCGTTACAATTTGATAGGATTAGTAACTACAATAATAACAAAGAAAAAAAAACAAAAACAACATTTTGTTAATAACAAAAAAAACAAACAAAAATGAAATTGCAACAAAGAAACGAAATACATTTCGTTATTATAACTACAATAATAATAATAATAATAACAAAAAAATAAAGAAAAAAAACGACAATAATAACTACAATAATAGCAACTTTTCGTTAATTCCATTCCACGCAACTAAAATAATAACTAAAAAAAAACAAAATTGCATTGAAATTGAAAACGAAATCTACAAAAAAAAAAAGGATAGAAATAGGCATACTTGACCAGCTGACTGCGAACAAAGAGGAACAATCTTTGGCGAGAGGAGCTTCTCTGATTACCGGCACTACAACAAAGCGCAGAAGGAGGGAATGGACACGGCGCTGCAACGGAGAGGAGAAGAAGAAGAACGAGTTGTGCTCGTGCAAGGTGACCAAGGGCGTATAAAGCCCTATTTTTTTGGGACTGACAATTCATTAAAAAAATTGATCGCAATTTTTAATCCTGCGATGTTGTTTTGTTGTCAAACAAATTGCGACCGACTTGCAACGAAAATAATCGGTCACAAAATATCGGTCGCAAATCGTCGCTAATTCCTTGTAAACAGGAAACTAAATTTGTCGCTGAACTGTAGCACGCAATTTTGCGACGGACTTTTAAATGGTCGCAAATCCGTCGCAAAATCGATCGCAAATTAGTCGCAATGTGGTCACAAAATGGAAACCCAACTAGAAGGAATTATTAGCGCTAGAATTAGCGATGGATATGATTTCGGTCACAAGTCCATCGCAAATTCTGTCGCCGTTTGATCGCAAATCGGTCAATGGATATTCAATCTCCCAATCATCGCAATTGGTCGCAATATCATTGCAATATTAGTCAGTAGCAAAAGCGCATTTTTTTTTTTTTTGCAGTATTTATTAGACGTTTCGAACTCAAAATATTTTATGATACGCATTTGTCTGTTAGAAATTAATTATTTCTATTAGGCTTATTGATTGTATTTATCTGTTTTACAAAATATTTGGGTTAAGCTTAATAGTCCAAAAGGTTTAATTTAAAGCCAATTATTAAAAAATGATCATTAAAAGAATTAATGTGTCAATTAAATGTGTTTAGTTTAAGTGTGGTTAAATCTTAATATAGGTTAAGATTGTATATTCTATTAGAGTTATGATGGGAGAACCTAATAGTTTCCTATATATAGGATATGTCCTTTCTCTATAGTCCAGCAGTCAAGAAAATAAAATATTCTACACTCATTCGGAGCTTGTAGACATAGAGAGGATGCACCTAGCCATTCCACGGACAAGTGTGCATGGTTGTGTTAATTTCTTTCCACCTTTCTACTTATTGTTGGGGATCAACATTGCATCAATGAAAGCCAACAAAATACCTTGTACGTTTTTTTACAATTTTCTGTGATTTCAATTTATATATGAGCATCTTGGGCATTAAAATCTAACATTATCTGCACCTTGTTTTTTATGTGTCGTACTTGAACTCGAGGGAATTCTAGATTTCTGGTGGAGACATGATAGAAGTGAATAAGCCATATAGACGATTTGAGAAATTATTGAGAATATGTCCTCTACAGAGCATCTCATCCTCTTCGTAGTTCTTGCGATCTGACTTCACTTTTTTAGTTTTTGCATCTGTTGGTGCAGAAATTGCAAGCAGGTTAGGGTCCAGGATGTAAGAGATCTTCAAAGCAGTTAGCAAGAGCATCATTTTTGTCCTTCCTACATACGAAATTGGTTCCATCAAAACAATCTGACTTATTCATAAATTATTTATTCATGACTGCCGTTGGCATAATAATCGATGACCTCGATTGTCAATTAAATCCTTAAAAATTTAGGACAGTGGAATATTTATCAACAAAGCTCTGAGGCGTGAATGATCAATTTCTTTAAAGATATAATTGCCTCCATCAGTTGTTGCAGAGTTGCAGCAATAATTCTCCTAGGATAACATAAAGCTTGCCTGAAAATATCCCTGAGGAATTCCATACGTTTATTTAGAGAAAAGTAAGGAAGAAGAAGTTAATTTGTGAAAAAATTTCTTATTGCGTGTGAATAGCGTTTGAGAGGAACTGTTGATAAACACAACTGCCTATTGGATTCAAGCAAGCCTTTGAGAGGAATCATTAATAGAAACAACTGTCTATTGGATACGCTTTGCTTGAACAACGACTAAAAAACTATTTTATTTAAATAATTAATTTTTTGTTTTTTTATTAATTTGAATATAAAAATAAAATAAATAAAAAATAATAATAATAAAAATATTTATTAGTGAAATACGTGCGAATAACTTCTTATATTTATTCTATTTTATATACAAGCAAGCCACAAATACATTTCCAAGTTTGCTACATGTAACTTATTATATCTAACAAGGGACACGTTTAAAGCATCTAATTGAAAACTTGCACTTAGGGATGTAAAAATGAGCCATGACATCCGAACACGATTCGTCTAACACGCGAAATAAACAGATTGTGGTTGAGATTAAACTGGTTCATGTTATAAATAAGTCACTCATTTATGACACGAATATAAATGTGTCATGTCGAGGATTGACACTCGGGTGGTTGAGCGAGTGACCTATTTATTTAAAAGTAAAGAGGTAATTCTAACGTTAAATATAAATACTCTAACTAAAATCTATTTGAACTTTATAGTTCGTGTAACTTTTTTTTATTTTAGTTATGCATTTTAAAGAATTTATGCATTTTATGTATGAAAATTTGCTTTTAAATGTTATTGGAGTTAAATGGGTAAAATTTAAAAATATTATAAGCAGTTAGGTGAGTTGTATATAGATTAACACGATCCATTTAGCTTATTTATGATATTAAACAAGTTACACGATTTATATATGAGTCAATACGACCCTCTTAATCTGTTTATGATATTAGATAGGTTACGCGTGTCGTATTCGTATCACCTCACTAAATTTGACACGATTATTAAATAGATCATATTCGTATTGATCCTAATCATATCGCGTGTTAACCGGATCCGTATCGAACCTAACATGCCAACTTATTTTCACACCCCACTTGCACCTCAGCTGGTCCTTTCTTTTGCACACGCACTAATTTGTCTCGATGAATTAACAGCACACAAACCCAACTGCTGTCTTGATGAATCAACAACACACCGCCACAACTCTTGGCCCCAACGTCAGAGATAGTACTCCATTACAGATTGCATCGAGTCGATAACTGGCTTAAAATACACTATTCGAACCTGAATTTTTAATTATAAATGAGACATTTAAATTTATCCTGAAACTAAAATTCACTTTTAATATTCGAATATATTTCGAATCTGATTATAATTATTCATTTCGATATCTCAATCCATTCATTTCGATATCTCAATCCGTTTAAATATTTGTTTCACATTCAAACTATTTTTTTATTTTTATTTTTCAAATGTGAAAAGTAAGTCAAAATTATTAAATTATTATTTTGATTTAATAAAAAATGTAAGTCAAAATTATTAAATTATATTTTTGATTTAATAAAAATATTAATATAAATATTTAAATATAATTATAGTTATTTAATTATAACTATAAAAATGATAAGTGTATTATATATAAAATATTTTTTTTTTAGAAAAATATTATTTATTTTAGAAAAATAATTATTTTAAATATTTTAAAATATTAATTAAACGGATAATATGTAACTCAACCTTTTTACCCAAATCCGACACCGATAGTAAAAATATTGCGTATAGTAAAAATATTGCCTGAACTCATAAAAAAAAAATCCATTTATTCACTGTGTGAACCTACCCAAATCGGATAGGATAAAATTGTCATCTCTAACTCCAACTAATTCCGGCCAATATCGAACATATAAAATTAACTTCATTATTTTCTCCTCTTAAATTGTTTTCTGAATTTTCCTATCAAAGGAAATCACACACTTCTATAGTTTCCATTGATGTTCTCTTCTAAATCCAAATTAAAAAAAAAAAAAAAAAAAAAAAAAAAACAAGCTCTGAAGCATACAACCAAAAATACATTTTCTATTTGATTATCTCCACACAGAAAACACCAAGTAAATTATCGTACTTCACAAAATACACACCACAATAGTATTCACTTCGACAAACTATGACCCATTAAAGACCTAGTTCGTAAAGCAAATGGAGTTTACAATATCAAGTATTAGTCCGAGTTTCTGCAGGTTTTGTTTAAGCGGGTGCTTCTGTTTCCCAGAAGGAAGTCTTCTTTCCAGTTTTTGACACGGTCTGAAGAACTGCATCTGGTTGCACATTTCCTTTTACTGTAACCTTCTGCTCTTTCAAATCAATGTCATATGATTCCACACCTAAGATGTTTTTTTTTTTTTTTTTAAGAAAACAAAAGAAATAATTACCAAATATACTAATACTGATATCTCCAGCAATAACAAGTGAGAACACCACTAAAATAATGGAGTTTCTGGCACGATTTGGTGATTGTTACTTGAATCTTGGAACATATAGAAAATGGTATGCGCAAAACTTTGGTTTGGGACTTCACAAGCAATTATTTAAACTGGCAGCCGGCACTATACTTTCTTTTATATCCTAGCCTCTCACTTCAAAGTCAATATAGATCATAATTCACAAACATGATTTTATTTTGCGATAAAGAGAGATAAAAAAAAGTTCTTGGAACAGAATTTCTAATAAAATGATTCATGGTAACATGTCGGTAAGCTATCAAACAAAGCCTATCTAAAATTATTGGCAAGACAAAGACTGAAGAAAAGTTAATTGCAAAATATGCTTCAGATGTAAAATATAATCAACAAAAAATTCAAAAACATTTGCAAAAAATCATTAATCATGAAAAAGAAACCTTGTTTAAAATTAATCACTAACCTTCCATTTTTCCCAAAACCCTCTTCACAGACCCAACACATCCATCGCATGACATGCCAACCTTGAGCACAACAGTCTGGAACAAAATCAAGTTAATTGTAAAAAAGACTACATAAAAAGAAACAAGCAAAGGGTGAAAAAGTTTTGTCATTAACAATGCGCAAAATGCAATTGATCTCATTTTAAACTTTGTCAGAAGAAGAGAGAGATGTGCAACTCAGTACATAAATGAATGAAGAGTAGTGCTAAGGTTTCGAAAAAAAGGACAAAAAAGGCAGGAAAAGGAAGAAGAGGCCATCAACATCTCTTACATGTAGCCATGTACTAAAAACTCACAAGTTAGAATCTTTATCAGTGCTTTATAGTACACAGGCATGGCCTTAAGGAATTACAGGTAAAACAGCACATATCAAAGAAATATGGACACACCTTTTCCCTGAAACCTATCTAAACAAATCTACAACAAACATTTGATAAAAAAAATAAGAAGAAGAAGAAGTAGCATCTCGAATCAAAAGTTGACTTCCTTATAAGCTATTCAGCAACGATAAATCCAAAATCTAATTCATTTATTAGATGAGTTCCATCTTGGCTGTTCAATTCCCAGATCAACTAGACAAATATTTGTTCCCTTCAAAACCCATGATTCAATTTGCGAGATTTTGTATAAAAGAACTCGACACTTCGTTGAAAACTTAAATTTTAATTAATAAGCTAAATTACACAAGATGAAAACATGTGCCCTGCAAAATCTTTAATAAAACGAAATCATCAAATACCCAATAATCCCAATTCAACTAAAACAAGAAATTCCAATCCAATAATCCAATTCATGAATATTAAAAAGAAAATCAAAACAAATAAATGAATAACAATCCCACATAAAACAACTATAAAGGAAAATTCAAGAAGAACTAGAAAACTATATTCTGATAAACCGAAAGGAATAACCAAGAAAATATGCAAGATGTAAAATTGGCACCTGAGACGTGGTTATCTGTGTGAAAAAATAATCTGAACAAAGAGAAAAATTTTCGGAATTCTGTGTAAAACGTGTTTTGTGTTGGAGCTTGCAAGTTTGCTGGCAGCAGATTCATATAGACTTCTATGATAACATGACTTTTTCGTTTAGACGGGCCGGGTCGGTAGTTTCTTTTGGGCCCAAATTACTATACATTTTAACTGGCGTACGTAACGGAAAACGAAAACGCGTGCGTTATGGGTAATTATTAATACCGTTTTCCATTAATTATATTTATGGTGTAAAACTTTTTAGTTTTTATTTTATTTTAGTGTCTAAACAATAAAAACAATTAAGTACCACTTAAAAAAAAATACAATTAAGTATATTAATTAATAATTTCTATAAAATTAAATGTATTTAACTGAAATTTCTCATTGAAAAAATGAAATTGACCATTTTACTTCATTTATTTTTTAAAATTATTACCTTTCTTTATGTTTCTTCTCTCATTTCTCTTTTGGACCCTTATTTCTACCTATATTTTAAAATTATTTTAGTTCTTTTATTTTTAATTTTTTTTTTTTAGAAGTAAAATTGGATGTATCAAGAACTAGAAACAATATGAGAAATTACAAGAGTGTTGATGGAAGGAGGAACCTCCTCAACCCAAATATGTTCCAAAGAAAAAACATAAGCTAGCTTTACTCAAGCATTGAGCACATTAGTATTTGAGTTCTTTCTTTAACATTGAGAACTAGAAGAAAAGGATTTTGAATTGAATCATAAGAACTGATCAACTTGTGCAAATTCAGTCTGAGCGGAAGATTGCAATGAATGGTGCTGAAATCATGAGCAAGAATCGGCTCCAGATTTATTTGAGGCAGCCCGTCTCTAGTGCTTTACAATCAAGTGAGTGCTGCAACCTCAGCGAGTCTTACAAGACAAAACTTCCCATTACCCCCCCCCCCCCACCCTTATCATTCCTAATCACAAAGCCCCACCGACATCCCAACATGCTAGATAGAGAGGCATCTGAGTTCAACTTGACAACGCCAGAAGGAGGCGACGTCCACTTGATGCTGACCGGAGATCGATTGAGAACAGGACCACCGGCAGGCAACAACTGACAGGCAGACTGGAAATCAAAACCATAAATAGTCCCATCTGCACTACTTGCAAAACCGAAAGCCTCTTCTGCTGGAACTTGAGCAAATATCGAGCCTTCTAGATAGCCCAAGCAATGACTATAAATATCTACGGTTGGGCTTAAGGCCTGGAAGAATAATTGAAAACCAATCATAAAAAGGATCAGCAATAAAAAGGCTAGTGTCAAGCCTAAGAGGGCTAAGTTTCCACACTTGTGGAAGAATAATTGAAAACCAATCATAAAAAGGATCAGCAATAAAAAGGCTAGTGTCAAGCCTAAGAGGGCTAAGTTTCCACACTTGCATCGCCAGAGGACAACGTTTTAACACATGCACGGCAATTTCACCATTATCTCCACACAATTCATAAATACAATCAACAGCAATCCCACGTCGTAGCAAGGATAACAAAACCGGCAGCAAATTCTTAAGAGCTTTGAAACGAAAATGCTTCAGTTTTGGTTGAAGATGGAGATGCCAAACTTTCTTCCAAAGCATTATGTCGACACCGTGCGATCCAGAAGGATGGGTTTATGAAATTAAGGCAAAGAAAGGCATATATGATGTCCACTTTTAACAGTGTACATCCCATTCTAAGTGTAATGCCGAATGAGAGAATCGCCACCATGCCAACGACTAAGTGGAATGGCTTTCATCAAATTTAGCCTCAGCAAGAAGAAAAATATCATCAATCAAAACTCATTATTCTAGAGACATAAATCTTCGTCAATTAATTCACTCACCTGAGCATTAGCAACAAGACGAGACACAAGTAAGAAAACTCGACAATCATTATTCCCAGATATCCACCTATCATGCCAAATCTCAATCCGCTCCCATTCTCAACCAACCAATGCGATCCTTTCTCAATCAACCAACTAGACTTCTTTAAGCTCTGCCATGCATAACTTGGCCTAAAGCCCATCGATGCTTATAAGAAGGAAGATCGAGGGTGATATCTAGCTTTAAGGCACCTAGATAAGAGAGACTTTGGACTCTTAATCAAGCACCAACATTGTTTAGCTAAAAGGACAAAATTAAAAGCATGGGTATCTCAAAATCCAACACCCACCACATGTTTTACTGCACACAATTTCTACCAAGAGCACCAGTGAATCTTCTTCTCCTCCCATTGTTGCCTCCACCAAAAATTTGCAATAAGAGAATCATTTTATTACATATTTCCACCGGAAGGAGAAAGCAACTCATAGTGTAATTGGGGATTGTCTGCGCTACAGCTTTAATCAGAATCTCCTTTTCACCTTTCGACAACGTCCTTTCCTTCCAACTCTTAAGCTTATGGCTCACCCTATCATAGATACTTTGAAAAACATTCTTCTTACTCTGACCAATCACCGTAGGGGGACCAAGGTATTTCGAGTGCTGCTGAATACCACAAACTCCTAAGTCTTGCATAACTTCAATGCAACAAGCAGAGCATGTATTCATACTAAAGAAAATCTCAGACTTCTTAAGATTAATTTTTTGACCCAAGGCTCGTTCATAATCTTATAGAATTTTCTTACCGAAAATCAAACTGCCATTTGCAAAATAGATGGGATATAACTGGTGCCCTTCGATAAATTTTAGTACCATAGAGCTTGCCCTCGCTCTCCGCTTTAGCAATTAAACTTGAAAAAACTTCAGCACAGAAAAAAAACAAATAGGGTGAAATCGGGTTACTTTGACGGAGACCACGCTGGGGGAAAAATCTATCCTTAGGCTCACCATTAATTAACAAAGAATGTAAAACAGTGGTTACACATCTCAAATTTAGATCCACCCAAAAAAAAAAAAAAAATTAAACCTATTTGAAGCGCCACTCCCCTCAAAAAAGTCCATTCCACTTTGTCATAAGCCTTAATCATATCAAGTTTAAGTGCAAACTGACCTCAACCCCTAGACTTAATTTTCATATAGTGGAAAAGTTTAAAAGCAACTAAGGCATCATTAGTAATGAGCCAACCTAGAATAAATGCGGACTGAGTAGGACTAATAATATGAGGAAGCAAAGTTTTAAGCCTATTAGCAATTGCCTTAGTAATTAGTTTGAAAATTACATTGCAAAGATTAATAGGCTTAAAATCTTTAGTAAATTCAGGGTTTTTAATTTTAGAAATTAGAGCAATATAAGTATGATTTATGGACTTAGGGGAGACATTATTATTAAGAATGCTAAGAACTTTATTTTCAACATCAAACCTTACAGTACTCTAGAAGGATTGAAAAAAGAGAGGGGACTTACCATCAGGACCAGGAAACTTGGATGGGTGCATCTGTTTAAGAGCATACCTAATTTCCTCACGAGTGAAAGATTCCAGCATTTGATTATTCCTCTCGTCTGAGACTCTTCCATCAAAAGTGTGTTTAGCATATCTTGGTAATCCATATCTTGGTAATCAAGTGATTCTGCAGAAGAGAAGTCATAACCCTAGCAATATCTACCTCCTCATCGAAAACATATCCACCTTCGTCCTTTATTTTTTCAATAGCATTTCTTTTTTTGACAAAAATTAGCCTTAGAATGAAAGAAGGCAGTATTCCTGTCACCCTTCTGCAACCACTGAACTCAAGACCGCTGGGACCACATACTCTCCTCCCTAGCCAAAACCTCCTTCATTTGCGCTTCAATCTCCCTTTGTTTACGAATATTTTCATCAGATTGAACACTCTACAAAAGTTTAAGCTGCGACCGAAAATCCTTTAGAGAATTATTGACATGACCGAACTCAACTCTATCCCAAAGCTTTAGGTCTTTCCCACATTTGATTAACCTATCCTCAATATCTAAACTTGCCAAACCCGTATTAACCCATGAATTCTCAACAACGGGCCGATACAAATCATTCCGGAGCCACATATGCTCGAAACAAAATGGCCTCTTTTTCCTCCTTCGAACCTGAGATGACTGCCATACAAATCAAAGAGGACAATGATCAGATTTTCACCTAGTGAGATGATCCACTTTATAAGTTGACAATAATGTAATCCATTCAGTTGTGCCCACAAAATGATCCAGCCTCTCATGAATGTTACCACACCTGACTGCCCATTGCTCCATGTGAATTGCAAACCTGCATATCCTAGATCCACAAACCTACAATTATTTAAAACATCATGAAACGCATCAAGGTGCTACTGACTTTTAGGACGACCACCACTCTTTTCAAAACTATATAATATTTCATTAAAGTCACCACCAATAACCCACGGCAGAGAAGATTGAGGAGACAAATGATTCAGTAAAGACCAGGATAAGTGTTTTAAATTTTTCTTCGACCACCCATAAAAACCAATGAAGCACCATCATCAATCTACAATCATATCAATATGGTGAGCAGGAAAAGAAATCAAGGTAATATCAATAGAATGATGCCACAATAAACACAAGACTCCCCTTCTACCAACACCTCTCTCACAATCCACTGAGATACCATTGGGAAAACCACACTTTTCCCAAACACCAATCATTTCAGAGGATAACAATTTTGTTTCCATTAAGAAAATAAAAGCGGGATCTTCAAACTTTAGAAGCTTTTTTAAAGACTGGAATGCAAAAGGGTTCCTAAGCCCCCTGCAGTTCCAAACTAAGGCACTCAACCAGTCCCGCCGAATCAGAAGAACAAGGGCTCACAACAAACATACCTTTTTTTAGGCCTTTTGAGAGCAAGCTCCTCTATACCTATACTTACAAAATCGGTAGCAGCACCAAATTTTCGCTTATCAAGACTCAGACCAATACCCAAAAAAGCTACTCCTGCATTCTTGGCCTGTCGTTTTCATGATTTTTCCGAAATAGCAGGGTCACTAGGTGGGACAGCAAAAATAGCTAGATTGACGGGCTCACAACTAGATGGAACAAAAGGAACTTTCGGGGGAGGATCAAAGAGACTAAGGCTGACACAAGTATTTCTATATCAGTTTGTGGGGAATTGTTCGAGGGGGATTTTTGTTGGTCACGTAAGGATGTAGCGGGTTGGACAGGGTAAGCGGGAATCGAGATGGC